GAAATAAACTAAGCCACTATATTTCACGTAACATTGAATTCATGTATAACATAAGATTTTACTATAACTAGTCTTCTACTCCCCACTTCCTAAAATATTACCTAATAAATGTCATAGCCCCTATTAAATGAATTATTAAATAAATAATTAAGATATATAATTAAGAAAATTTCTAAATAAATATAGAATGTATATATTTGTATTACTTGATATATAAATTTATATATTACAGATTACATATAATTTTAAACTATAGTAAATTTTTATTAAAAAATATCTATTCAAAGCATATATAATAATGCTATTAACTTAAATATTTTAAATATTTAGTATGTTTTTGCATAATATCTATATTACAGTCTTGAATATAAGTATCTATACCTTCATCATTAAAAAAAATTTAATAAATAAAAAATTTTTTTATTATAAAATACAAGACGAATTCTGATCATTAATATTGTTAGCATTGAAAATGAACATTATTACAATTACAGAAAATATCACGTAAAAATTATCAAATGATAATGTGCAATAATAATCAACAATTACTGTAACAAACAAATCAGAAAAATAATAAGGATCTACATGATTTATTTGATCAACCAAAGTTTCATCTGATTTTTATAATACTACGAATTTTAATTATACTCATAATAATAGCTAATTGTTCATTCTAAAATGTTTTCATTATATTTACTTATTTTATTATTTCATATTATTTATCTTATATTTTATTCTTATTTTATTATCTTTTATTATTATTTTTATAGTTGAAATTTACTAAAATAGTTAGTTTATAGTATAGCAAATAGTTAGTTATAGCAAATTTATTTTGTATAAATAGAATAGCTTTTTGCTTAAATTGTAAATTAACTCTTTTGTGAGTTTCAAGTTATTAATAAAGAAATCAATTTAAATCTATACAATTTACTTACTTTTCCCTTTAATATTGTCTTTCATCTAGAATTATTATAATACACTACACTAACTTGCTATTGAGTTTATCATTATGAGTTCAATTAACATATTTTAAATTCTAAAACATGATAAATTGCCAAGTTGATTTAAGTATAATAGATATCTGTAAGACTTAGAGAAAATCCTAAGATCAGAAACTCTAATGTGTAGAATCAACTGCTGCAGCCTTTTAACTTAAACATTAAAATAATTAAAAATGAACCCAATGATAATATATAGTAAAATTCCTTTAAATTTATTAATATCATAACTCATTTTTTCATACTATTAATAAGATTTTTAGCTAAAAGAACTGATAATTAATTCTGCCTTTAATCTCCTACATGTTTTAATTTTTTTTTGAAATTTTAATTTTTAGAAGTTACTAAACATTTTTATAGGATTTTGATCAAGAGACATAGATGGCTAAGGTAATATAATCACTTTATTTTCTTCTATTTTTGCAAATTTTTGAGTGATACTTAAGATCATTATTTTTTTGCAAGATCTAATCTATACTATCTTTACTAAAAAGCTCATAGGCAGAAGGTAAGAGACCTCTCTTATACAGTTAATGACCAAAATTATGCGGACATTTTTAAAATCAAAAAAAATTATATACACATAATATAATAAAAACAAAATTTTAACAAAATAAATTCAAATATATCTTTATTTATTATTTATAAAAAAATTTAATAATTAATCCTATTTCTATTTGCGACAATTTGCCGTGGCATGCTATCGATCAGTTTTTTGAATATTCTGGAGGAAATACTTTAATATTAGATGGTAGTGAAGTTGGTGTTAAAAAATCAGTTTTGCAAAGACGTATAACTTGACTGTTCACATTTATAACCAAAACTAATAGCACCACGAGTTTTGGGAATAAGTACTTTCATATTTGATATGAACTGAAAATGTAATCAAATAACGATCGTCAAAATGTCTGCATAATTTTGGTCGTTGACTGTAGATACTATACATAAAAAGAGAATCCAGATTTTTTTCAAAATATACCAACTTACCAAATCCTGAAAAGAAAAACAATCTCAAATATGAACTTTCTGTAAATGTTTAACTATATAGAATATTTTAGCCTTTCAACAAATATTCAAACCTTTCTATTTGATTTGAATAATTAAAAAGTACTCTCTTCAGTAAAAATAACTTGTTTCTAGTCAAATTTTTGATATTTTTTTTACTTATTTTAACTGGTTAGCTATGTGTTTCTCAAAAAGCAAAGATTTAAAAGTTTCTTTACAAATTTACCTTCAGACTTATCAAAATGTCACCTGATTATTCTTGAACTAATAGTAATACTTTATTTTTTAAGTTTTTGTTAAATTTCAGTATTAATAATATATTTTTCATTACTAGCTTTATAATTTGTTTATCTTGTATTTTGATAGTATTGCAAAATTAGCTTGTCTTCTATTTATGAGTTAAATTCTCATTTTTTTAGTATTTTTTTCATCTAATAAGCTATTGTAGATTTACTATAGTTAAAGCTTTGAACGGTTTAGTTCAGTTTGGATTAGATACCAATCTGTATCTGAACTAAAAATTTCAGTTCAGTTCAGTTTAGATTATTAATCTTAAAAATACCAATCTGAATCTGAACTGAACTGCAAACTGGAAAAAATCTGAACTGAATCAGAATTTTCATATTAATCTGAAATTACAGTTCGATTATATAAGGAATTCACAATTTATATGCGAAACTCTAGAAGAATCACAAAAAATCGCAAATTTCTCTTCGAGGTTCATGAAATTTAAAGAGAAATCGCAATTTTTTGTGACTCCAAGAGTTTCACAATAATTTTGTGAAATTCTAAGAGAAATCGCAATTTTTTGTGACTCTAAGAGTTTCACAATAATTTTGTGAAATTCTAAAAGAAATCGCAATTTTTTGTGACTCCAAGAGTTTCACAATAATTTTGTGAAATTCTAAGAGAAATCGCATAAAATTGTGATTTTCTAAGGTTTTCATAAAATTTGAAAAGAAACTGCAAAAAATTGCGATTCTCTAAAAGTTTCGCTAAATTTTTGCGATCCTTTTAGAGAATTTGCAAATTTTGCGATTCTCTAAGAGTTTTGCATATAATCAAACTGAACTTTCAGATTAATCTAAAATTATCAGTTCAGTTCAGATTTTTTTAGTTCAGATTAGAATTATAATCTGAAAAAAATCTGAACTGAACTAAAAATTTTCAAATCAATTTTTATGCAATCTGAAACTGATCTGAATTGATCTGATCTGAAAAATCTTCAGATTAATCTAAACTGTTTAGAGCTTTAGCTATAGTAAACTTATAATACTATTTTTTTATAATCCTACTTTAGACCTTTTGGGTATTTATATAAAAAAGCAATTTCATATTATTTATCAAACATAAATGACATTTTTGTAATTGAAAATTGCTAATCATCTAACTTCTGATTTATATATTATATGAATTTCTAAATTTATAGATGAGTTATTATCATTATTCATTTTATTACATATTCATCATAAATATAAAGAATGATAACATAATATAAGCGTATGCGCACAAAATATTTTTACATTAAGATCTTTTCCAACTTTAATTATAATATCATAGTATTCATCATCATCTAAAATATCAATATAGTTTTGGCTTAACTTGTAAAAAATTGTGCTGACATTTTTTTCTTTGGGAAATATAAAAAAAATTGTAAAATGTTAAAATTAAATTTGTTGGATAAGAGGTCATCAGATAATTTGTCTTACATATTTGATCAAAAAAGATTAGAATTTTTTTTACTTGTCTTAATTAATATTTTTATATTTTACTGAACTTTAAAGCAAAATAAAGTTATACAAGTACTTTTAGTAAGCTATTAAAATCACGTTACAAATCATAAATAATACGCAAAAGTTTTCAAACTTATAGTAGCAAGCACATCTAGCAAAATGAAATCATTCATTAAATTTTATCATTATATTAATTCAATATAATATGATATACTTATAATAAATATATTTTTATATTGTATAACCCTATAAGAATGAGGATTAGTTACGCATGATGAACACTTTAATTTAGATTTTTCACTGCTGTTTACAATAAATTATCGCTCATTTGTCATATAATGGATTTCATCAATAAAAAAAGTTCTCAGAATACTTAGGAAAAATTTAAAACATAAGGTAATGTGAGTGATAACCTACGTTTACATCAATTTTAAGAATATAAAAATAATGATCTTTCACATGTTAATTAGAAGGGAACTGGTAAATTATTATCTTTTTTTTATTAAATTATTTATTACGCATTATAATTTTCAATCAATAAATGAAAATAACTAACGTTCTCCATACGTAGATTACTAGATTTTTCATGGGTTATATATATATAAGTCACATATGCATAACATGAAGTTCAATTCTACTCATTAGCAGAGACACTTTTTTACATTGCACTTTTGTCTTACCTCTATCTCCTTTTGAAGGTTCAATAAAGTATCAAACCTTAACCAAATTGCAAGTGAATTATTTTCCAGCCTACTGAGATCAAATTTAGAGATAGGCAAAGTTCTAAATGGAGTGACTCAGAGTCAATTCTAAAATTAAACGTCAGTTTTGCTCTTAAGTCGAACTGAGGAATTAAAGTGAAACAATCAGTTCTAAGAGAACTGACTCTCTTGAGTCAGTTCTATTTAAATTTATAATATTAGTATTTAGTTATTTTAAGATAAAAATAAATAAGATAAAAATAAAATATAAATTTACGATTTGTAATTTTTGTGGCACAGTAATTTTGATCAATAATGGCAATTTTTATAATGGCAATTTTTGTAACAATAATTTTGTAGCACTAATTTTTATAATGGCAATTTTTGTAACAGTAATTTTATAACACCAATTTTTGTAATAATAATATTTATATCAGCTATTTTTAAAATAGTAATTTTGTAGTGACAATTGCTAAAATAATAATTTTGTAAATGTCATTTTTTTTTAAAAATGATAATTATCAAAAAAACTCTAAATAATTCTCACGCTTCTTTTTGTTGAAATGGAAGAACAAAAAGAAGAAGCCTCTTCTGAAAGGATATTAAGTAGTGATGAATTCAATCCTAACCAACTTGAGAATAATGAAGATGAATGAGTAATTAACCTTAACGAAATTAATTTTGATAAATTGGTTAGTAATATTTCAGAGACTAGTCAGGCTTCAGATTCAGAAACAAACATTTTATTAAAAAATAGTAGTGTGTAGTTATATTTTAATAAGAATCCAGCTGATGTATTTGTTATAATGTTTGTAAAATATGTTTAAAAAAATATCAAATATCAACAAGTGTATCTTCTTTATGAAAATATCTTCAAATACATCAACTTCAAGCACCTACAAAAATACAAAAAATTAAAAATAATATTACAACTTCTTATAATAGGCAAGAACAAAATGAACATGACAAATATCTTATTTAATAGCTTATACGCGATCTTCAGCCTTTCACTATTATTGATAATACTTCTTTTAAAAGTTTTATTAAATTTATTTGTCTGCATTATGTTATTCCTGATCAATATAAAGCAAAATGTAAGATTAATTTCATAATTTTTTATTATATTATAATATCATCTAACTTTATTTTGTTTAAATAGATTTGATAATTAATACTTTTATTACTAATAAACTTCATCAAATTGCAGGAAAATTCTCATTAACAGCTGATATTTGAACTTCTACAATAAATCAGAAAGCTTTTTTAGGACTTACAATTCACTATGTTGACTCTAATTGAGATCTTTGTAATTTTTTACTTGATATAATTCCATTTACCATTAAACATTCTGGAGTAAATATTACACAAGAAATTATGCACGTCTTAGAAGAATTCAATATTTCTAGAAAAATTATCGCACTTACAACTGACAATGATTTTGCAATGATAGTTTATAAAAAGGAAATTTTCTCAGCTTTTGATAATGAATTTTCTTCAATGAATTTCTCATATTATCATTGTGTAGCGTATGTATTAAATTTAGGAGTAAAAAAAGGATTAAAAATAGTCAGTAATTCTATTACAAAAATATGTCAAATAATGCGTAATATTAAAAATTCTATACGTCTTTGTGATTCACTTCATGATTTTTGTAGTTTAAAAAAATTAAATATCTTAAACCAATTTTAGATGTGGATACGTGTTAGAACTTAACATATTATATGTTAAAAAGATTTAAAGAACTTGAACCAGTTTTAATCTTACTTGTAGCTGACAATCTTTTTATTAATAATCTTTATCCTAATAATAATGATTGGAATTTAATTAAGGTAAATTAAACTAAAAAAACTAATATTCTTTTATATTTATAGATTTTTATTCTAATGAATTATTTTTTAATAGAATATGTTATTACTTCTTAAATCTTTAGAAAGGGCTATTAGATATTTATCAGCATCATATTATCTAATAATAGGTGATACTTATCTTGTATTTACAGGAATTCAGACACATCTAGAAAAATATGCAAATGAAAATAATTTTACAGCATGTGAAGTAGCAGCTTTTATATCTAGTAAAATTAAAAAATATTGGTTTATTATGGATAATTCTTCAATAATCTCAGCAATTTTAAATACCCGAAGTAAACTTTTTATTTTTTCAGAAGAATCAAAACAAAGTGCTTATGTTCAAATTCAATCTATATTTGAACTCTATAAAGAACAATCTTACTTATTTACAAATTTAGTTCCATCTATCCTTGTTAAAAAGAATCACCAATATTTTACACAACTTCGACAAAATATAGCACCTATAAATGAAATTTCTACTCTGGTATTAGAGACGGAAACAGAATTAAATCATTATCTTGAATTACCAATTGATGAAGAAACTGAACCTCTTTTATGGTGGTAAGTTCATTCAAATGACTTTTTGGTTTTGAGTAATATAGCTTGAGATTATCTAACAATATAAGCTACAAGTGTTACATCAGAGCAAGTATTTCAATTGCAGAAAATGTGATTACAAAAAATTGAAATCGTTTACTACTAGAAACATTAAGAGCTTGTTTGTATGTAAAAAGTTAGATGGATAAAAATTTAGTAAATTAGTAAAGCAGTTATAATAAAATATAATAATTATGAATAAATAAAAATTTTTGGCAATTATATTAAATATAAAAATTTTTATATTAATATAAGCATTTCTAATATACATTATTTTTTGTAGAACATGACATTTCTGCTAATATGATATAATTAATAGCCTGAACTAAATATGCTTTATTCAATTCTATAATTAAAATTGCGCTAATCTTACATTAATTAATTACTTGAACAATAATTTGAATAATGATCTTAATCTATTTATATAATTTTAAATTTTAATTTTATATTTATTAATTTATTTTAATTTATTTAAATTATTTTAAATTTATCAGAGTCAACTTGGTCAGTTCAGTTCTAAGTGTCATTCAGAATCAGTTATTCAGAACCGCTCAATCAATTCAACTCGCTTTGACTTGCAAAACTGGAACAAAACTGATAGAGTCATCTTCATCTCTAGTTATAAGCGATGCAGGATGGATTGTCTGTTAAAGTAAAATTACTAGTAGCTTTTATAAAGTTACACTCTTATCTATTGTATACAGATGAATGACTTCATTAATATTTAATTAATTCTTTAAAGTTATTCATAATATATTTCGCATAAGTTATTACTGTGTCAATTAGAAAAAGATAGTCCTGTCATTATTGCTAAATGTTAACGTGTAATTCTTGCAAATTATGATTGTTAGATGGGGTGTTTAAGCAGTTTATTCTTTTTTAATTGAGTAGTAATCTTTTAATATAGTCAGACCTCTATATAGTCACACAATTAGTTCTGCTAAAATTGGTGATTATATAAAGATGTGACTGTAAAAAGGGTACCTTTATATAATCACAACTATATGATAATCAAATATATAGTAACTATTTAGAGGTTAAATTAGTATTGTTAGCTTTATAAGTAAAATTTATCATGATATTTTATTTATTATTTAACCAATATACTATTTTTATTAAATCATATGAAAAAAATATTATC